CCATCGTGCCCGGCCCAGATCTGCTTTTTTAGCTCCCACATATGAGTGAGATCAGGTGATATTTGTCTTTCTGTGCCTGGCTTATTTCACTTAACACAATGGCCTCCAGTTCCATCCATGTTGCTGCAAATAACAGAATTTCATTCTTTTTTATGGCTGAATAATATACCATGGTGTATATAGACCACAATTTCTTTATCCATTCATCTGTTGATGGGAACTTAGGTTGAGTCCATATTTTGGCTACTGTGAATAGTGCTGCAATAAACATGGGGGTGCAGGTATCTCTTTGATATATTGATTTCCTTTCTTTTAGATATATACCTAGTAGTGGAATTGCTGGATCATACGGAACCACACTGTGTGTGGGTTTGAGGTCTTGCTATGGGCTATGAGGTGTAAAGCCTTTGTCTACAACCCCTACCAAAAAAAAGTCTACATTTGCACTAGTGCTTTTGTATAAATGATGTTTTCAGGGGACAAACAGGACATCAAGATGATAGTGGACACTTCTGTTATATTTTTCCCCCATGAGCTCCCCAAAAACCTCTCTGAATTTGCACTGTTACTTTTTCTTACCTTGGCAACTCAAACAACTGCTTAATACAGTTATTTTCCTCACTTCTCTCCCTCGTGACAGATCTCCCCATTGTTCTCCTGAGTGGCAAAAGCCATCCTTTCCTTCCTTCCTCCTTGGACACTCTTTCGAGCACGATAAACCACAAAGCCTGGTGGTGGGCTCTGCAGTTGGCTACACACCACGCCAGCCAGGGGGCTTCCTTTTGGTTTCACACTGACACCCACCCTCACCCAGGCTGTCCTCGCTGGGTTCCCACCTGTTGTGCTCACACCTGGCAGCCAGCTCTCATAATAGCCATGGTTTCTCCTGTGGAGCCTCCAGCCATGTCCCCCCAGCTCATTCTCCCCTCTCTTGTATCTTCACCTTCTCTGCATTCTCCATGCCATTGGCATGGCCTGTCCTTTTTCCCTCCTTGTAAAATCCGTCTCTGTTTTCTCTAGACCTGGCATTCCTGGCACCGTCTGTGTGAGTTCTATGAACTGCTCCTCTCCTCATTCTGTGGGGCTGCCCTCTGTCACCTCCTGTCCAGCTCCCTCTCTCCTTCCTCTTCTCCTGCAGTGACCTTGCACCCACCTGAGAAAGGCCCCTGCCTCTTCCTGGTGACTTTCTTCCTCTTTCTCCCCCTCAAGGCCTTGACGAGGTCTTTCTGCGGTGTCTTTGATGGCTCCCCTTTCTTTTCATATTGTCTTCTTGTAGTCTGGTTAATTGGTATCAGTACACACCTTCTCTTGCCAAGCATTGCATCAGATAGATTTTTCCCTAAAGCCACAATGTGCCTTGAAGCAAGGGATGTCTAGGGCTCAGAAACATGTGTAAGCTTCCCACCCATTAGGTTGGCTATTACCAAAAAAGCAGACATCACTAGATCATCAGGGAAATGCAAATTAAGAACCACAAGGAGACATCACCTCATACCTGTTAGTGTTAGAGTAAGAGATCAGGAGACAGGGCTGAGACGAGATGCAGGGGCTTAAAGATCAAGTGTTAAAATAAACAACTCTTAAACAGAAGCTAACTAGAGGGGCTGATAACCACAGGCAAGAATCAGTTTTGTTTGTCAGCTGTCTCTGCCACCTCACATGAACTTTGGCTAATTACAATATCATTTACATTGCGGTTTTAATATCTTTCCACCCTTGAAATCACCATGACAGTTCCCAAAACAACCATATAAAGTATGAAATGGGAGGGAACCCAATTCTAGGAATTACTACCCAAATTCTTAGTAAAAGCCAACCCCTTGGCCTTGAACATTCCTCCCCTCAATTAGTAAGACTACAAAAGATGTAAAACCACTTCCTCCCAGTGCAGCTGCTCTTTTCGAGCCTGCCCTTGCTCATCCCTGAGTGTGTACTTTTGCTTCAATAAAGCTCTCACTTGCTTGGCTTACGTGGTGCATTCTGCACTTTTCCCCACAAACACCGAGAACTTGGAAAAACCTCCACTCAG